TCTAATTCCGTAAAAATAGGTTCATATAGGCTCTATGAGCATTAAAAGAGACGCTAAATTTCGACTCGGGAAATCTCTGAGACATTTATAAAATTCGATATAAAAAGTGTAGAATTTACCTTGTTAAATCAAATATTATGCACGCCGTTAAGGCGCATCGCGTCTTCGGCATTCGGCGATGACAGGATTGCGGATCTCTTCGGCGCGGAGGACTCGTTTCGAACTCTCGTTGATGGGATTAGGCGTCCTTGAACGGGCCAGGTCGAATTCTCGAAATGGGAAAATACTGGCGCGAGTCTTGCCGATGCGGAAGTGGGTCGTGACCCAGCTAACGTGACCTGCACCAATTCGCAATCCGCTCACGGCGCCGTAGCCGCCGCAGCCTTGATGAATTCGGTTAGACAGCGCGCGGCCTCCTCGCGCTTGAAATCGCGACGACGATATTGCGATCTCGCATGCGAACGACGGCGGAAAATGATGCGGAGAAAGCGTATCTTATCTTGCATTTTTCCCTTTTGCGCGCTTAGTGAACTTATCTTTAATCTGCCGGCAGTATCGAAATTTCGCTTCGCATGGAGCGGGCGATTAACAGGCGTCGCGCGGATTGTAGAACAATTTTGAACTTTTTTTTCGGAGAAAAATTCAGTGCGCGGATAAGACGGATTTTAGAGTCTTCAAATCTGGCCAGTTACGTCGCAAAGAGCAGTGCGTCGACTTTGGCGCATTAGTAAATCTTGAAGATATCCTGAGAAAACCGGACATGATTAGCGGCGAGCACGGCGAATTACGGAGAAAGTAGTTTAATTTTTATCTCGAAGGAATCCAACACGACTCTTACGCTAATAAATAGGCAATATTATACATATCTTATGTATTCCAACGTAATTTTGAAAGCGTAAACTCCGTTCGCGTTTAATTAAGATGCATCTCGAGTAATGTAATTAGCGCGATGATTAGTCTACAATAATTAGAGAGCTACATTTTCACGACAGATGCAACAAACAATTCTAATCACTTAATTTATCTGCTTTCGTGTCACAAATAAACAAATGAAGAGCCAAAGATGTGTCTTCCGAAATTCACGAGAGATATTCTGCTAAATTTGAAGGCATATATATTATATATTTTATAACAAATTTCTCCGCGCCGGGATCGGCGTCGACCTCGTTGTCGAGGATTAATGACGTCTTTTTTATCGATATTATCACGCCGTGTGCACACGCGCGCGCGCGCGCGCGTGTAATGATTCTGATACAGTTAGACGAAATGACTGGAAAGTGCGGGACTGTTGCGTGCGGAGGGATTTAAAAGCCGCGTTTCCTCGTTTCCCCCTCGCGCTCGTCGGCTTAACGTACGGCCGATGCGCGTCCGCCCGCGCCATTATTTCGACGATTTAACCATGCAGTCATCCTACGCGCGTTTTCCCAGCCTCGGCGGGATTAGCTGTACGCGCAGAGCCGACCGAAAGGGTCGGTGAACCGATTGTGAATGGAAGTAAAAGTTTCGTACCGGCCGAGATTTCCACACCGCGTATTCGCAAATTAATTATTCGCACGTTGTGCGACACAGTGCCGCCGTTGCGCCATACGTATATTTCGTATTACGTGCGGGATTTTATCTCGTGTAAAAAATCGCCGTTATTCGTTACTCTATCGCTCAACTTACATCCGACTTGTTCTGACTTACGAGTGCTTTGCTTGGTCACGGAACGAGCTTGGATAAAAATTAAATGGTGTGAAGTAATACGAGTATAAAATGTGAAATTGAATTGAAAAAACAGTAAGCGTAATAAATGTTCTGTCCGCAGAACATTCATTTATGCATCTCAAAAACAAGAGGAAAAAATTGATAAAATTGTTTAAAGGAATTGGGGGTTTTTTTTTTTTTAGTTTACGTATTATTCTTCTTTGATAACAAGCAGCGCTTCGACTTTTGCAATTTTTTTTGTATTGATCGAGTGTTCGGTATGCGTAGAAAATTCCCGAATCCCTCGTTTCACGGGAAGCCCGAACGATCCCCGAACACGGTGTGGTTTTTCGCACCCCCCTCGAAATAAAATGGAGAATTTTTTTCAGCACAGTTAGTAACGGAGCTATATCCGTCTCTCGAGATCCAAATCCGGACGCGGTCTTGCGATTCCCGCGCATCCGCTTAGGTATTCACTTCGCGTACGTCGGGCCACGTCGCGCGGAGATTCTCCGCGCTTCCGCATTGCCCGTTTTCCGACGTCGTTTTTACCATCGTGGCAACCTAAAAACCCGCCTTCTTAGGAATACATTTATTCGACCGCATCCAACCGTTTCGTAGCGCATCACGCTTCGAGGAATGCACACTCGCGTTACATCAATTCCTATATCGCACGGAAACCGAAATAACCAGTGTCCTTCTGCGGCACGGAAATAGACGGAGAAATGAAGGAGCGAGGAGACCGTGGAACTTTCTAAGTCGTATTTACCTTCGACGTATTGTAACTTCGAAACTATGTCACTCCGCGGCCGATAATCGGAGCGTTTTTGCATACGCTATCGCGGCGACGGAAACTTCACTAATTGCGACGTTGCGAAGCTATTGAATTCGAGTGTTTTTCGCAACGGGCGGAATTTTTCACAATCGATCGGGGTTGCGTTCGACGCGGGAAAGCTCTATGGGGAAAAAAAATCTATTATTGAAAATTGAACTCTCCGGTTGACAGCCCTCGACGTCCCGCGTGACGTCAAATTGTGCACTTCGACGCATGATGTTTGTCCTTCTGTCCTATCAAGCCGCAGAGCGACATTGATCGCTCTACTTGCGAGGTATCGATATTGAACATCGTCGGCGGATTTTTCCGCATTCACGGCTCTTTATTCGCCGCACGCGTGCAAACGCGCGCCCACAGCTGGTCTCCCGGTGATGAGCGCTGCAAGTAGTTGCATAATCCCGCGAACCAGCTATTTCTCTCTCTTTCTCTCCCCCTCTGCGTATTGACGTGCGGTCTCCTACGGCCGATTCGACGACCTTAAACGGCTCACCGAGCCCGCCGATTTAAAAGGGCAAGGGCACGGCGTCCCACGACACCACGCACATCCCGATCGATGTGTTAAAATCAAAATTGTTATTTTTTTTTTTTTCCCTTTCTTCTCGCATTCGGCCTCGTTCAGGCGGAAAAATCGCGCGCTACGCACGCGAGGCCGCGTTGCGTGTGTGAATGTATGCACGAGTTAACGTGCAAGGTCGCCGTTCCGTCCCTATAATAGAACGTTCGTCGCTATTACTTGCATAGACAGAATTATAAGCGCAACAAGGTGTAACGAAGTGCACTGGATTGCTGGAGGTGTTTCTAAAAATATTCAGCTTGATCATTTTTTATTTCCTTTTTTGGTTCAAGTTTTATGAAAGTATTAATTTGTGTTCAGTTACTGGTATGAATGAATGTGAGCTTCCGATTAGCAAAATCGGAGAATTGAACGTAAGTTTCTTGCCAAAAAATTAAACACTGAAAATCGAAGTGAGATAGCGGTGAATTTGTAGGGCAATAAAATACAGCGTTGCCATTCCTTAGAATTGCATAAATATTTTCGTTGTTGGTAAAAATCACTTAAAACATTCTGTCTATAAACAATACTTGCTAAATAACGCCTCGCAAAGTTTAGTATTGGATTTTGTCTTCGCCAGATTCGCGAATATCTCTCTGGAGGCCGCAATCGCAGAAATTGCGGATTTTAAAGGCCTGAAAAGAATCGCGTTTCTATTACAATTCTGTGCAAATTTCCATAGCTCATGCATGAATAATCTCGGGGAAGAAATCGGAATATATTACGCGCGGCGATCTATACGCGATTTTCGTCTCCCATCCTCGTTTCGGGACGTACTTTAACGGGCTCGCGAACGACCGGATTTCAGCAAGGATCGATCCGGAGCGCTTTAAAACCTCGAAATTAGCGACGATGGCCGCGTTTCGTTCTCTCGATAGCACTTCACGCGGCTGGAATTAATCTCCGCGTTTGAAGAACAGAATTAATCCCGTATGCATATCGATGCGACACGCTCGAACTCGTCATTCGAAAATAGAACGCACCGCAGCCTGGTAACAGTCAAATAACCGATGTCGCGTCTATTAAAAGGATATGGAGTCATTCTGCGCTTCGCGCGCTGCTTAATGCGATTTGATGCAATCCCGATGCACTTTTCCCGCTTCCCCGGTGCTTCCCCCTCGCGTTCGTTTCTGCCCGCTGAAATGAGGACGTAATCGTCAATCGACGAAAGCAGCTGTTTAATGTCCGCTCACGAGGTGTGTCCGCGTTGATCATGATCGGTGTGTTACAAGGCAATTACGGTCCCCGTTGATGACTGGCGAAGGTGCCAGTCTCGGATTCGTCGCGGCCTGTTTAACTGATTGTACCGTGAATGCCCACGCGCGTTTCTTTTTCCTCCTTTTTTTTTTATTATCCGGATACAAACGCAGCGAATCATCGCGATGATTAACGTATCGGTGAATCGCGGTGAATCGAGCCTCGTTGCACTTTGCGGCACGAAACTGCGCGTGAAGAGACGTTTTATCTTTCTGCGAATCTAGTGAAATTGTCTTGAACGCGAACTGCGTATCGAGCACCAGCTTTTTCGTGGTCAAATCGCAGCTAACCCCGACGCTACGTCGCGTAGCGGCTGCTGAAACCGGTCGCGGTGTATTGTGCCATAATTGGTATCGTATATTAGTGCCTCCTCGCGTCCCGCGGAAAGTATCCGCTTCTATTCGGCGCGAGTTGGATCACGGATTTCGCAAAGGATCAACGGGGCGCGATGTAACTAGAAATATCCGCGTTTAGCGATATTGCACAATTTCTAGTAAAAGTTGAAACATCGGAATATTACGTTGCACGATATTAAAGTGTGATGTTACAGATGTATATATGTTTTTTCTAATGTGAAAAAATTGCGCCTTTTAAATAATTCTGCAAACTTTGTCGAATTTTGTGACACGACACGTCTAAAACGCATATTTGCATCTTCTTTTCTTACAGCGGCGAGAAAGATGCCGGCGATAAGAAGGAGAAGGACAAAAAGAAAGGTGAGAAATGCGTGGAAACTTGAGGAAACTTATCGATTGCAGTCAATCTCTTTGTGTGGCCTTCCTTAGCTATAATTATAAATTCAAGTCTACTGCGAACTCTCTCTATCCTTTATCTTTTTTTTATCTTATTTTTTTAATATCATTCCGCTTCGATATTAATGATTCGAATCCGTCGGAATCTTTGAGCAAAGCATTTTTTGCACGACGACGTTTTCAATAAGACGCTCGTAGAGACTGAAGTGTTTGTGAAATTTCAGAAAATGCCGTCCAACCACATTGTCACATCACACTGAAGTGCACACGCGAGGTGAGTGACTCCTTCCGGTCCGCTCTTAATTTAGACGCGATCTCGTGCGAGAGAAAAGAAACTGGAATTTGCCCGATAGAGACGAAGCGATCGAGTGCGGCGGGAAAGAAAAAAAAAAAAGAAGTTATACTTAGAGGACGAGATCGTTATCCGCTCCTGAATTTACAGATCGCCGGCTTCAACGGCCTGAGCGACGCTCTGAAGAGGCTGGATTTCCTGTCCGCGGTGCACGACTGCCGTCGATTCAACTACATCGTCCGTCTCCTGGACCTTTTGGTCAGCCACAGGATGGGCGGCCTCAGCGGATGCGCCCAGAGAGTGCTCTTCAATATGCTCGAGGAGGTCGCGCTGGAAGGTAAAACAGTCTCGCTCGCTTAAATGAATCATCGCAAAAAATTCGCTCGGCGGTGCCGCGATATATTTCTTCGGACGCGGGAGCCCGCTCTTACGAAAGACAAAAACGGGGGGAAGAAGAAGTGCTGCTTGCTTCGAACTGACTCCCGATTATTGCACTTGCAGTGTCGCTGTCGCAGCAACAAACCGGAAGACTGCGCCGTCTCATAGAGAGAGTCCGAGCCTTCAGCGCCGGCTGCTGCTGGGGCGGCAGACCGCTGGGCTCCGTTATCCTGTGGGAGAAGCATAAAGCTGCGCTGGAAAGAATCTTGCAGATTGCCTCGTCCATCACCATCACGCAGGTAATATAAATTTTGTGGGGGGGAAAAAAAAAAAAATTCAAAGAACGCCGGTCGATAATGAATGAGCTCTCTCGCAGCCGGACGAGGAGCAGCAGCCGCAGTGGTCCGATCTGCCGCCCGAGTGCCGCCGTGAGGTCCTGCTGCGTCTGAGCGATCCGCGGGACATCGAAGCCTCGTCCGAGGCCTGCGAGCATCTCGCCGTCCTGGCGCAGGAGCAAAGAATCTGGCGCGAGCTCGCCCAGTATCACTTCACGCCGCAGCAGATCGCCACCACCAGGCAAAATAATCCCGGAAAAGACTGGAAAACCATATTCACTGTCGCCCGAAGGTCAGTACAGGCTGTTTTGCGCGCTGTTCGGGGCCGACGAATACTGCGACTCGGCGGTCGGAAGCTTGGAAAAAAAGACGGCGGTGTGTTTCTGTACGCGTTCCTTATTGCATTGTTCAGATCGTTCGGCTTGCGGGAGGAATACGCCGAGATGATCCAGCTGTGCCGCAATTGTCGCTGCTTGTTCTGGCGATCGCTGGGCCATCCCTGCATCGCCGATCAGGACCCAGCGTTTCAGGAGAAGCTGGCGGACGTTGACCAGGCGTCCCTCCACGTGCCGATTCCTCCGCAGACCTTCCTGAAATTCTTCTCGCTGTGAAAGCTTTCGCGACGCGATTATATCTTAAGTGCGTAAGAAATATATTACGGTGTGTGTGTGTGTGTGTGTGCGGAAAACGAGACGCGACTGCTGTGAATGATCGTCGCGCGACGGAATGGATGCATGCGCGTGTAAAAGACGGAACGTTTAATGATGTTACACCTGCACTTAGAGAGTCTAATGTTACCTTCTGAAAAATATATTTAACTCGAGATACTCTTAATATATCGTATGGGCCGCCAAGATAGAGATCGGCAATAGGAATCGACTAGGAATATTGCCCTCTGAACGGTTTGACGTCGATTTTACTCCAACGAATCGGAGGCCTACTTATTTCAAGTTGAATGAGCGCGATTTGAAGAATTGAAAAGCTGCTAAGCAGAAACGCGAAGCCGCACGAAACACTATCCGGGGAATCGATAGCTTTTTCAAGTTCTCACTTCTGCTCCGTAATTAGCGAACGCGCTCAAACTTTTTATCGATGGAAAATCGATTCCAAAGTGCTCGCGAGTAATATTCTCTATTGCTGACTTTGACTCCGTCAAGCTCATCTTGTATCTTGATTGGATATAAGTTGTTCTCTGGTCAACGGAATCTCTTGTGTAACACGGGATTCCTGATCTGCTTTTTTCTTTTTTTTATCTTCGATATTCCTATGGATACGTTCTAAGGACGATAAGAGAGGATATTTCCAGTATCCTTCCGAGTTACGGTTGTAGAAAGTAGACACTAGTCGTATAACAATGTTGTTCGCGGTAAAAAAAAAAAAGTCACGCGTCCGTTCAGAAGGATAGCGTAAGGATGTTGATTTTTACGCTGACAAGCTTTTGGTGTTTGAAACTGATAAACAACTACGTGTGATCTTGCGGCAGCACTCTTTCCAGTCTACTTTTTCGTCGATAATAGTATCAGCCTATCTTCGCGAATCCAATATTTGTTAATTTGATGAGATGATCTGAGACATGTTTTGCAGCAACAAAATTTTTTATTTCGATAGAAAGTTATTGGAACAGGAATTTGGAACAAATTCAATCTCAATTTAATACTTCCGCAGTCGCGTATAAACTAAAATGCCTTTTAAATGCCAAGTTATTTTTCCTATGCGATATCAATGAAGACAATCGAGTCGATTCGAAGAAAATGTTCTTCTTCCGCCACAGATATCATTTCGCCGACGTTAAACAGAAAGGAAATCACCGTATATCGTGCATAATCGTATATTTAAAATATGATGTGTATTCATCGATACAATGTAATTTATTTCTTAATGGAACGGTATTTTTGGTGCTCTTCATAGCTTTATTGCATTTCGGATTTGCATTTAGATAGATAGATTTAATAAATGGTTATATACTTTCGTATAATGGCAAAAAAAAACATCTATCGCGCTATTCTGTAATAAAGATTACGCTTCGACTTTATTTTACAAGAGTGTAAAAAGGGTTGCTATTTTTGTGCAACATTCTTGTATCGTCCTTTTTCTATTTTTATTTAATTTTATTTTAGAGTCGTTTTTTTTACAACGTAATAAAATTGCGACATCTTTGCAATTTTCGGCCAGCAGCTTTCTTGATCGTAGAACAATGTTGCTATCGCGAATTTCAAGTTCGGACAGTCGTTTGGATGTTGTGATGAAAATATACATAGCTAACTTACAAAGTACAAAATATAACCATCGTTATTGTCGATTGTGAACGCAGACGGATCGCGAAGTCCCGTCGTCGCCTATACAGGGTGTCATAGTTAAAGCAATACGGAGATAACGTATATTTGAATTTTCGCATTCTGCATATTCGTTTTGAGAAGGGCCCTATATTTGTATTACATTCATCATGCGTTTATGTGCGCGTACACATTTATTCAGCTGTAATGTTGATAGATTTCTAAAGACCTAAGTTACGATATGATATATAAGAAACAAACAAAAAAAAAGCAGAAATTGTACTGCATCACTAATCGGAGAATGAAAAATTATACTGCCAAAGCGAATGCTATTGCATTTACACGAATCGATGCGTCGTTTGTGTAAATTTCCGTATAGCGACGAGACGTTTTTTTGATATTTGCTCTTTTATTCGTAGCGAAAAACTTAAAGAAATCACTGCATGACTTAAATATACTAACCTAGTCACTAAAGAGGATGACCAAAATCGCGGTTGAGCGCAATGTTAAAAAAGTGTAATAAGCTTGAGATGAGAATTGGCAGCTCACTGTGTACATTAATAATTAATAATTCAACGAACTGGTCTCTGTAAGGTATATATATACATATATATATATATATATATGATTATAAAGCGATCCTATGATCAGGATTATTTTACTTACATAAGCAGATGTGTAGAGCAGTGTTGTGCAAAATGCTTCAAAAAATAAACTTTATTTAAATATACATTCACGCAGTTATCAATCAATAAAACAATGTCTTTCTTAATGATAAGCATAATCGTTTCAATTGTTTTAAGAGAAGTATCTAAGAAATGTAAAGAAAAACAGAGAAATGTCTTAGAAATATAAATTCCATCAGCAATGGCTCTACACTTTCAGAGATCTAAAATTAATGTTTGTAAAGTTGTCTATGTTAAGTAATATTTATCATACAAATCTATATATACAAATGTATTACATTTGTGAAAAATCTAATACCTAAAATCATATTTTGAAGATATATGTAAAAGAGATAAAATCGACTAGTTTTATCTTTTTGTTGCAAAAAAAATTTGAAACAAAATGTGTTTTTTTTTTTCTCCTTGACAGATATTTATAACTTAAATAATTCTTGAGCAATCGATCTAAATACTTTGTTAATTGTGCATTATTATACAAAATAGCGTCCTCATTAACTCTATTGCTATTGCGTTTAATGATAGAAAACGTTTGGAAAAAATATTGCTTCTTTAATGCATGCATAATTCGTTATCGAGAATTGTCAAGGTTACAGTTCTTATCACTTCAGAATTATTGGTGTTTTTTAAGTAAAGTTACATAATTTTTTTTCCTTGAATCAGTTTTTCTCAACGTTCTGTACCTATATAAATATATTAAGGTAAAGTAAACAATATATGGGACTACGTTTCATTTGATTTTAATATAAAACTTTTTATGTCTAGTAAAGTTAACTTTTTTAAATGTTTACAGACTTTCATATAAATTGTACAATTTTTCGCGTAAGCAATTTTAATGGAAAAGTTAAGATTAAAGATTATGCGGATCAAATGTTAACATTAGAATTCGTTTATCAATTTCCAGTTGTTACATTTATGTGGAAACAACAATTAAACGGGACTGATAAATATTTTTGCGTTTTCGAAGTAGTATCCGAAATAGACATTAGCGTGTCATTATCATCAACAATGTCAATTTTTAGGTAACTAGGAACAATTTTAACGTGTTTTATCAAAAAGCATTTATATAGCGACAATATTTCATGCGGCGCAAACGACTTGTTTAACAGTTTACAAAAGTTACCTGCTACGGTGACTCCCGACAATAAAGTTTTGTTGGAAATTTTGCAGCAACATGAAGTGTATGTAAAATTTTAAAGTAATATTGATTGAATCGATTGTGAATTATTTTCAAATTTCTATTCTATTTCGATTATACAATTTACGCATAAATGCTCAAACATATTAAGCATAAAAATTTTCAACTTACATTATTTAGTGCATTTTTTATATTTTGTACATACATTAATTTTTACAACAAAGTAGTAAGATTTTAAAAGCCAATATTATAATATTCTACATTTCTACAATACATTTCTGCATTTTTACAAGTTATAATATTCTACATTCTACAATTTTTGATTTAAAAAAATAAAAAACATATACATATCATCAGAAAGTTAAGAGATTACTTGATTTTAATTAAAAAAAAGGAATTTTCA